GGCCTTGGTGCTGGAAATGTGTTTGCCATTTATTTTCCCCAGCTGTTGCAAAAAATTCTTCAATGAGGAGTTTTAAGCCTTGAACCAAACCCAGCAGCGTTAAGATTAATGTCGTGCAAAGCAAAAAAAGAAAAACGGATTTGAAAATGGTCCAAAAACACAATATTGCACGGCTGTGTACAAAAAAAAATTAAAAATCAATAAAAAAATTAGTCCTAACTATACATAAAAAACAGTGTATTTTTTTATTTATTTTTGAAACATTTTAATTTATATATTTTTAATACAATATAAATATAAATGTAAAAAAGTTTTATGTATAAAAGTAACAGTTTATACATAATATATCAATATATAATGCAATCATTAAATCATTTTGAAACATTTTAATTGACATTAATATTTTTATGATAAAATATAAATAAATGTTTTATGTACAAAAGTTTATGCATAATATAGTAAGAATATAGTATAGTAATAATATAATAATAATTATATTTATATATATATATATGAGTGCTGTCGAACGATTAATCGCGATTAATTGCATCCAAAATAAAAGTTTTTGTTTACATAATATATGTGTGTACACTGTGTATATTTATTATGTATATATAAATACACACATGCATGTATATATTTCAGAAAAATATGTTGTTTATATATTAAATATATTTATATATAATATAAGTATATGAATAAATAAATGTATAACTATGCCATACCCTTGTCATTATACACATTTATGTCCTCATTTGTCGCAAAAACGCACACACACACACACACACTTAATTATTATCATCCAGTCATTAAATCAGTGTAAATTGATGAACTTCTCTGACCAATTCGTTAAAAGAACCTGCTCTTCAGAGTCATTTGTTTGAATCATATTACACAGTACGGTTTTTGTGCACAGCCAGAGACAAAAACACAATTGTTTCAATTATGTATTCTTTTCTCAGTCCTCAGTCTTTGTGTCTGATCATTTTCATTTCGAACGGCGAGGAAAATGTAATGTAAATTATGTAAATTATGCTGCTGAATGCAGTTTACTTAACATCTTTTATAAGTGAATAAACAAATGAACTTTTCCTCCTAAAACTGACAGTGATGTAATCAAAACAGTCTGGCTTTTTGGGTCATTTTTATGTAATGTTTTAAACAAATCTGGCTGGCTGTCAAGTCTGCTGCACATTTTCCTCGATATCAGCGATCAGTCTCTGCTTTTTGATATTGCTTCAAAATTGTAGGTGAAATACCTAAATATATCATTTTAAATTTTGCATTTAAGATGTAAAGGAGAATTTACATTTAGCCAGTCATTTCCTCAAAATAAACCCTGAAAAATGACCAGGATCATCCTGAAGGGTTTTATTTTGCCATAGTGACTGTGACATATTGACACTGTAACAAATGAATACAATTTCAATGGTGAAAGACTGGGGAAAATGCCGCATTAAAAAATGCTGTTAAAGGTTCAAAACAGATTTTAGTAGAAATGTGGTCATGCTAATTCAGCATTGTCCTGGGTTAATAATTACGGTTAAATTAAATTTTTGGTTTAATGAAACAAGTCAGTAGTTATCTGCAAACAGTTTGAGCAAACATGAGTAATCAGCTTCTCTCCTGTTTTGTCAGCTGTTTTTTATGCTCTGTTGTTGTAAAAAAAAAATAACGCTTTACAAATGGTCTTATTTGTTGGCATCAGTGTTATTTTAGTATTATTTATATAATATTATAGTATTTATTAATATTTTGAATTAACTTTTTAAAATGTTATTTTTGTTTTTGGCTACTAATTTTGTGCCTTTGTCATTTTTTAAATATATTTTTTCTATTTCTATTTAGCTTTTTTTAAATTTCAGTTTTAGTTTTAGTCCATTTTTAGTTCAGTTAGTTGCCAAGGCAACCATTCTAATTTTTATTTAAATGTAAGTTTTAAAATTACAGCAGTTTTAAACTGTGTTCTGTTAAATTGTTTTTATTTTACTATATTTATAATTCATTTTATTATTATTATTTTACATAATTATGGCAAGTTGCAACTTTTTCTGTAAAAACAACAGGATTTTTTTTTTCTCCATTACAGACTTGCCAGATAAATGAATACTGCACACAAACTGGAATTGTTTGATTATACGTGACTGTGTTTCACTGGAGGAAGCGTTATTATGAATCATACTTGTATTTTAGCCAGAAGAAATGGTTTGAAGTTAAAACGTCTTAATGCTGGATTTGTTTCAGCTTTTGGCTTCTCAAGACATTAACTGATGGACTGGAGTGGTGTGGATTACTTGTGGATTATTGTGATGTTTTTATCAGCTGTTTGGACTCTCATTCTGACGGCACCCATTCACTGCAGAGCATCCAAGTGATGGAATGCTACATTTGTCCACTCCTCTACAATCTTAGGTGGCATAAACTTCCATTCAATTAATTTTTAGCTGAACTATTCCTTGAAGACATCCTCCAAATACACAGATTAGCGATCATTATACAGAATATCTGACAGCAGAACGCAGCACTCGAATAACGTTGTTTAACACCCTCTGCTCTCATGAAAGCTTTACATGTTATTGTCAAACCTCTAAATCTCACTGTGGAGACTGTGAAAGGCATTTTTGCGTGCGGGATGCTCGTGTGGAGTGTGTGTGAGCAGAGAGCAGGTTGGTGGATGAGAGTGTTTAATGGGGCAGTAAGAAGCGCATCTGTCCTCTCGCTGAGCTCATTAACACTCGGCGGCAGGAGCGTTTGCCTTTCGCTGTTGGAGTCGCAGCGAGATGTCAGAGAGGCGACGCACGAGTGACTGATTTTATGTACTTGCACGCTGAATAATGGTGTTAATATTTCTGGCTGCGTTTAAAAGAGAAAACGCCTTGAGCTCTGGCAATACAAACGCCGCGTCCATCGCTCGCGACCAAACTCTTCCGCTGCGGACCGAACATTAACATACTGTAATGACAGATCGTGCTGTTGGTTTATGGAAACCAATTTCTTTCTCTAATTTTCTTGATTATTTGTTGTATTTTTACGACGTGTCTTGTCTTATTGGTGGAAAATTAAAGATGCAAATTGACTTCGATGATTAAATTAAATATGTCAATAGTTGTCTGCAAACAATTTGAGCAAACATGAGTAATCGGCTTCTCCTGCTGTTTTGCCAGAATGTCAAATGCTCTGTTAGTGATGCTTTACCATCAGGAATCATTTGTTAGCATCTGTTTTAGATTTTATATATTATTTATTAGAATATATTATATAAGTACTATTTATTATACTATTTATTCATGCATCATAAATGTGTATGTATGTATGTATGTATATATATATATATACTATATATATATATATATATATATATATATATATATATACTGTATGTATAATAAATAGGCTATATAAATTATATAATAAAGTGTATATATATTATTATTTTAGAATTATTTATATACTATTACAGTATTTATTAATATTTTGAATTAGCTTTTATTTTAATTTGTTGTTTAATTTGTTAATTTGTAGTTTTCATTTTAATTTTAGTTTTAGTAATTTTATTACGTGCTTTTGTAATTGTATTATTTTTTTACATTTCTATTCAGTTTTTGTTTTCATTGAGATTCTGTTATAGTTTCTATTTTCATTGAGATTCTATTATAGTTTATAATTATAGTTTATAATATATATTTATATATTTTTTGAATATGTTTTTATTTTTATATTTTGTTTGTTTTAAATTTAAAGTTTTAGTATATAAATATATCGTTTATTTTTATGTTTTATATAAATATTTAATATTTTAATGTTGCTGTTTAGCTTTCATATTTTTTATTTCAGTTTTAGTTTGATTAATTTTAGTACTTCAACATAAATCTATTTATTACAGTTAGTTGCCAAGGCAACATTTCTAATTTTTAATTTCTAATATTTGTATTTTATTTTCATTTCAGCTGTAAGGTCCCAAAAACAAAATGTAATGCTTTTAGTATTAGTTAAAAAGAACAACACTGAGCAGAAAACAGTATATTTTTACAGCATTTATTAATCTCTGTTAATGTTAATTAATAAAAATCCAGTTGTTAATGTTAGTTCAGAGTTTACTAATGTTAACAGAATGATTTTAAAAATGTATTAGTAAATGTTGTGATTAACTAATATTAATAAATGCTATAGAAGTATTGTTCATTGTAAACTTATGTAGGTAATTATTGCTAACAAATTAAACTTTATTATAAAGTAAAGTTATAAAGTGTTAGAAAGTTGTAAAGTGTTCCCAAAAATGTAATAGATTATAAAATATAATTTAAATATATTTTTGTTTAAATACATTTCTTATATATTTACTAATAAAAACATAAATCAATCATTTAAAATAAATTACAAGCATATTTACTCTACAATTATATTTACCGAATAAAAAATTTGGCCTAAATGTAATATAATATAATATAATATAATATAATATAATAATCTGTTACTTCAAAATAGTTTTTTTAATTTTGAAAATTACATTTTAATATACTTGTATTTTTTTTTTTT